TAGATAGATAAACAAACAGAAGATAGATAGACAGATAGATAAAGAGATAGATAGATAAATAGATAGAAAGAGAGATAGAGATATAGATAGATAGATAGGTAGATGGATAGATAAATAGATAGATAGATCGATCGATAGATAGATAAATAGATAGAGAGGTAAATAGATAGATAGATAGATAGACAGATAGAGAAAGAGAGAGACAGAGATAGAGGGATATAGGGAGATGGATAGATAAAGAGATAGAGAGATAGGTAGATATATAGATAGAGAGATGGATAGAGAAGATAGATAGAGAGATAGATAGATAGATAAGCAGATAGATAGATAACCCGGGAGATAGATAGATAGGTAGTTAGGTATAGATAGGTAGAGAAAGGTAGAAGACAAGCAAACGAAAGAAAGAAAGAAAAGACAGATAGAAAAACGGAAAGAAGGGAGGAAGGAAGGAAAGAAAGGAAGAAAGGAAGAACGACGGAGAAAAGGAGTGAAGAAAAGAAAGAGAAAGATAACTATTCCGCCCACCGGCTTCGCCGGCTCTAGTGGTATAGTTCTTTCGAAGTTGGCCAAAGCTGGTGTTTGAGGGTAGTTGTCTAACTTACACTTGAGTCTCCTACTTGTTTCTTCGATTTCGTGCGTTACATATATGTATATAGTGTTTAAGAACAGAACCCCCAACTACAAATGTCCGCATCCCTCCGCCGAGCCCCTGCGTTTGTCATCTCATGAGGCCCTGGCCCGAGCCAAAGGCCGGCCCAGTCGCTGCAGCTTTGCTTGCGCAGATGCCGCGGATTTTATGCAACAAGGCGCGAGGGGATGGGTTTGTCTCTCTCACACACATTCAAGCGCGCACACACAAACCAACACGCAGACAGACAATTCGAACGCAATTCGCACCCACACACAATCTCTGAGACACACTGACTTCTACCAGACGATGGCGAACGCTGGTTAAATCATTGCTTGCATGGTGCTTGCCACCCACCAGTTGTTTTTCGAGCAGCTGCTCGTTTTTGCATGTTTTTGGATAGGTAGACCACTCAAAAGATGTTCACCTCGGATCAATCTGGAGGCCCAATAGATCATTTCCTGACTCAAAGAAGGGACCACCCTGATTGGTCCCATCCCCGGGATTAATCCGAAGCTGACACAACCAGGTCTGGATTGTGTGACTCAGATGCGTCTGTGTTCTTGTCCGAGGCCTGCGGTTTGACTTGATTTTGGCCTGCAACGTGCTGTGCCGACTGCGGCGGCCGCGGCAGTGGCTGGCATCCCTGCCAACGAGTTTGAGTCCCCAAGGTGTGGTGGTGTTGCCCGGCAAAGATGCCTTTTGCGTCTTCCGTCCTCACACTGACCTTTCTGACTTGTTAGCCAAGTGCAGGCCCGATGATCCTTTTGTTGCTTGCTTATTGAAGCATACTTGTTCAACAATGCACTAGCAGACAAAATCAGCAGCCTTGGCATGTCAAACATGACTACCCGATGCCTCGTTGCCCAAGGTTGGTCACACCATTTGCATGGCTGGAAGCCTTCACACCGAGAGCAGCCACTTGGATGAAGCCAGCGCTTTGTGAGTGGCGTCTTGGGATTTGGGGCGAGGGGGAGGGACACATGGGAACCTGAATGGGCCTGTATATGTTGCTCCTTGCCCATTGGTTTTTCCTTCTCACATTCAAACGCAGCATCCAGGTACACAAAGTCGTTGATCATGCGTTCTGACTTGACAACAAAGCGGGTCTTTTGGCTAGAACTGGCTGATGTCTTTCCGACTCGCTTTCCACGCCGCTCAGGGTCTTTTGGCTAGAACTGGCCGATGTCTTTCCGACTCGCTTTCCACGCCGCTCAGGAATGGCTCGGAAACTGCGGCGTGGAAAGCTCAAGGGCCTTGAGCGAAATCATGCAGAGGCAAGGCTCCAGTGAATTTCTTCTGAGTGCTGTGCTGCCTCAAACTGAGGGAACCCCAAAACGGGTTGTTTCTTTTGGCTTCCGTTTGACCATCAGCCCAAAGGTCCACCAATTTTGAGAAACACCAGAATAATTCAGCATTTGTTCAATGGAAGCTGTCTTGTAAAATCCTTCTGTCAGTATCAGCTTCCATGATCGGAATAAGGGCAGCCCATGAGTTTTGACTGACCCCAAAGGAAGCCAACTGGGATAGATAGGCATTGTTTTGTCCGGACGCGTTCAACATCGATGTTCAGAACTTGATTCATGCGGGACTTCTTTGAAGATCATTGCACCCCTCGCTGATGGCTATGGCCGGCCAGACATTCACATCCTTTGCTTTGCTACAAGCTGCGCTGTCAATGCTTCACAAAGAGACTGCAAGCATAGACGTAAGCCTGCTAAGGCAAAGGTTTCAGAGTCAAAGGAGCCCTGTGCTCTCCGGGCACGCACAGCCACACATGCGTCCGGCAGTATCCTTCAAAGAGGAACGTCACAGCGACGTAACAGGAAGAACGAATTTCAACAAGTGCTGCTTCTGCTTCTGCTGCAGCTACTGCTGTTTCTACTGCTATGGCAACTGCTCCTGCTACCTCGGCCATGGCTGATACTTCTACTTCTACCTTTTACTTGTACTTCTGTTGCCGGCTGCTACTACCACAAGTCTGATTTTCTTCGACTCACCGGTCAAAGAGAGGCCAAGCACATACTGCTACGTCCGCAAGCCGCATCTACCCGGGTGATGTCCCGGGAGATGTTTAACAAACGATCCCGGGGTAAAATGGGCTTTCCCGTATGAGGGCCTGTTTTGTTCGAGGGGCCCGACTTCAAGCGAAACAATACAACTCCTGCAATGCGCAAATGAAGGAAGAGGGCCGGGGAGAAGGCCAAGAGAAAGAAGCGCATTTTAGCAAGAGAAAGCGCCAAAGAACAGAGGGAGGGCAAGCAGAAAAAAGAAACGGCAGAAGCCGAGGAAAAGAGCAATGAGCAGCATAATAAGATAACATCGTTTGAGACGAGCGGGCGGTGAGAAAGATGAGGGAGGTGTGTTGTTTCGTCCGCAGCTAGCGAGCCGCGGACTGTGGTTTTGAACTTCCGGAAGCATCACAACATCCACATTGCTCGAGGCTCAAGGGACATTCTATGGATGGCAGCACAACATCATTCTTAGTGTCGGTGTAGGTTTGCTGCAGCTATTGCCAGTCGCTTTCCACCAGCTTGGAGGATGAAACTCTGGCAAGATTTTCCCCATTCGGCAGGCTTGGGTTCCAAGAGTTACGCCGCGAAGAGGTGCCATTCGTCTTGGTGCCTTGGCTCAACTCAGGGCTTCTTAATACTGGTGTGTGTTTTGGTGATGACCTTCCAGCAATCATAACATTTGGGCTCAAGGCCTATTTCACAGACTGTAGTGCAGAAGAAAAGGACAGTGCTTCTCACAGATAGGACGTACTGATTTTACCGTGGGGGACCACGTGTCCATTGAAACCTCTTTCTCCGAAAGTACGACTATGAAGATAGATTCAGGCGAACCACGTGAGAAGGATTCGAAGAGCTCAGATGGGCTAGGGAGCTGATGATTTCTATCCCTAGAAACGGTCTGTGTCCACTCTGCTCGTGCCCCCGAAGGGTAGGCCACTCAGGCAGTCCTGAACCTTTCTTTTCGGATCGGTGGTTCTGGATTTTGGGGGATATTTTGATGTGATGGAGATGATGATGAGGGTCGTGGTGGTCGTGGTGGTCATGTTTATGGTCATGTTCATGGATGGCGATGATGTGCTGGTGCTGGTGCCAGTTCTGGTTCTGGTGCTGGTGATGGGGTGGTGGTGACCATGGCGATGGCGATGCCAACTGCACTGCCAATGTCCATGCACAAGTTGAGGGTCATCATAATGCTGAGAGGTTTCCTGGGTGTGGGGGTAGGCCTGCCAAGTTCAGACCCCGGGCCACGCCATTGTCCAACGCGCAGATGGTGGCATTCAATTTTCACGCTAGACAATTTCTTTGCTGTAGCCCCCACTCCGAAGAGAAAGTTTGACTTCTCGCCGAACGCCACCAGCACTTTCTCTTATTACAGTAGCTCGTCCGCATGTTTGCGGCTAGAGGTCTTTTTCTTTGGGATCTGGTCCAAGTTCGGTTCTTAATGAGTTTCAGGGTGTTCATTCAAGGAAGGGTTGCTATTCTTACTATCTTGGCAACCGGCTAGCTTTCGTTCAACCTCTCAAGTATGACTGATCACACATGCCATAGAAATGCCATGGCCCTTTCGGGCCCCCCAACGCTCGAAACAGATGCTTTCAGGAGCCCCCGTTGACTTTTGACTTGAAATCTTCGAGCGGCATACCGATGGGATGCTGGGGCTCAAATTTGTCATGCGGGCATCTGTCGAAAATAAAGGGACCCCACGACCTAAAAAGGAAGACGTTCTCCTTGTGGCTTGCATTGCAAGCTAAGTGAGAAGTGAACCCTTAGAAAGCATACCCATGTGCGCGCCCAAGGCACAGAACGAGAGAATCCACGAGCTCTTTGTATCCGAGCTGACGGTTTGGCAGCTTGTGTGACATCAATTTTCGGCATGCTGACCCAAGAAGGGTTGGCCGAGAAACCTATGCGCGCGGACAAATTGTGTGATTGCGTGGTCGTTTCCCAAGAGCAAAAAGTAAGGCACCGAGTCGAATTGCAAATATCCTTTCGCACCCCTCCCAGAAAGCCCAGGATATGCGCCCTTAGGCTTGGTACGTATTCTGCTGCAAACAGCCTGGCACTTTGGGCCACAGACAGGCAGGCCTCCTTGTTGCCACACCAAAAGGGCTCGGTACAGTCTCCAAACAGGACACCCCCATCTGTCCCTATTGAGTGGTCCGCATAGGGGAAGCGAAGGCAAAATCACAGTTCGAGGGGTCCTTACTTGGAGACTAGACCATTTGACAATTCCAAGCCTGCCAATTTCGTGGATCCCCATTTGGAGGCAACCCCAGTGCCCAGATTCGGGAGCCAAAGCCAAGGAGCTTAACTCGGTGACAATCCCACATGGGTTATCCAAAAAATGGCGCTGTGAGGTTGGAAGGGGTGGCAGAGCCTGGTCAACGAGCGCGAGGTTGGGGACCAGTGGCTCGAAGAGGCGGATGCCCGAAGGCACGGATGGGCACACCGCCCAAAAAGGAAGCAGTCGGGTTATCAAACTTTTGGGGGGCGGTAGTTTCCAGCGTTGGGGGACCGGTCCCAGTCCACATCTATTCAGGGGCCCTGTTACATGGGTGAGCTGCAGATACTGGGTGTTCAAGGTCAATGATTATTCCTCAGTCCCACTATCCATCAGGGATCATTGTTTTAAATTGGGGCCTTTTTATGTAAGTATTGGGTGGGCTGGGGCCCACCCGCCAAACGACATGCAATGACATGCATACGCACTCATGTGATTTATATGGCATAGCAAAGCTATAAGACCCCCAAGATGTGTCGCAATTTGCTGAGGTTACTTCTTCGGGTGATGTTTACGGCGGAAGTTCTGGCAGAGTCGCCAGGAAGCAGCTGGAAACCTTCGGCACCCTGCGAAAGTCCACAGAGGAGATGGGTGCTCGATTGGCGCGAGCCTTTAGTTCAGATCCATTCAGTACCCCCTGCCCTCCGGAAAAAAAAAGCAAGGAACACGAAAAAATGTTCCTTCCACATTCCACGTTTGTTTTTGCAAGTTCACGCGATGCCCATTTGTTTCAGGCTAGGCAATTCGCCTGGATACCCTGCCTTCTATAGAGTCCCATGAATGAAATCTACTTTACAGGTAGCTGGGGTGGCTGGACTGCTCCCTTACACAGGTCATTACGCCCAAGGTATTCAAAAACCCTAGCAAGGGTTCATGGCGAATCTGATCCGTGGCCAAAGTACCATTCCATTATGTTGCTTGACAACCTTCTCTTGTAGGGGTGTGGAATGGACCTCACAGATGTTCGTCTCCCAATTGCCTTCCCAAAATGGACTTCAACGCAACCCACATGCCACTTCAAATCGGAGGTCTAATCCGAAAGGTGACACAACTCCACGAGCCATTCTTAGCTGCATTTTTCGAGTGTGCCTTGATTTTGGGGACCCCCAAGATTGTTGGCTCTTCGTGATTCTCCATCACTCAAAGGGACTTGTCCTTTTCGCCCGCTGAAACCCGGAGAAGTGAATGGCTCAGGGGCGCTCAAAGGGGCGCTGAGTGGAGCACCACTACTGAGCGGACGTTTGCACCGATCCGGAAAAGCAGAGCCCGGAATGGGTATGTTTCTTCAATATTCTTGATGTTCCCACCCCGTTCCCCGGCAAAGAAAATAGACCCCAGGTTCCAGGAATTTTTGCAGAAACCTGTTTGGAGGGGTGCGGTGTTGACCTTCTTGAGGGAATCTGTGAAAAGGCAAGCCCTGCCAGAAGCTATGAGAACAGCCTATCGAGAGGCACCAGCCACACGCGCATGCATGCCTCCCTGCCCTTGACGTGGAGAAGGCGTGGATGGCTGGGCCAACACTATATAACTTGTCAACTTTCCGGGAGTATACACCAAAGTTGTTAAATTAATGAAATGGCAAAAGACATGTTGGACTTTCGGTTTTAGGAGTTGGCAAAATCACACCCGCCAGTGATTGTTCCTCAAACTTCAGCGGCTCGGGGGTTCATGTCTGAAAAATGCATGCTCCCCTCGGGCTATTTCTTCCCATGCAACTCATCTCTCTGAATCAGCATCTTGAAGATCAACATGGAGCACAAGAAGCCATCATGACTAGAGGATGTTCGGGTTCCGTTGGACTTTACTAATTGTTTCCCTTTTTCATGCTCCAACCTCGTCCTTGGGCAAGGGCCCAGGATGGTCACCAACATCCCACCCCAGCTGGTCATGTTTCTTATGGCGTGTTCGACGTGCATGTGTCGGACATTTGGTCAGCCATTCGCTGTCCAAACAACCCCTTCGAAACGTCAAGATTGGTCGACTGGCTGCTTTTGCCACCTGCCATGAGCCGTGGATCGGCTTTTGTTTTCCTACTGTTTGTCCTTTCCATGCTGGCGTGTGGTTAGGGATGACTGTCACTGGTTCTTTTTCGGGCACTTTTCGCGGGCTTTCAATTCACCCCCTACTCACCGGAATGGTTCTAGAAACCCTTCTAAGACTTCAAGAACCCCTTCCAAGAATGTTCTAAGAACCGTTAAGGCGGGTTGGGCGGCCCTAGGTTTGCTCCCATTTGGGATGTCAGTCCAAACCACCAAGCAAGGCCTACCTGGAAAGGTCAAGCGTTTTGCACAGGGTTGAGGCATACAGCAGGGTTCTGACGGGGTTGTGAGATCAATTCTGGGTAGGGCCATGGGTTGCACTTGCATGGTTCGAGAAGTGTTGGATCAGAACCCCTCTGGTTCAGATCCTTTCCTGGGTGTGTGGGGCCTTTGGTTTCCTCCCCTGTATGAGTTGTGAATTCTCTCTGACATTTGCTTACACATGTCTGGTCTGGTGCACTGTCCCCTTTTTGAAGACTACAGACTTGTGTGAACATTCATGTCATGGGAGCTTGATCGTTCGAGTTGCCGCCATTTGCCATGGTTTGCAGGCCGAACCCCCCCCCCCCACCCTAAACCTCAAAGTCGGCATGCCGGATTCGATATGCTTGCCCTGTTCCAATGTTGATTCCGAGCCACAGCAGGGCCAAGATCCCCTCGGTTGCCTATGGTAAGTACAATCACGACGTGCGAATGGTTTTCGGCTGGCACTCTGGGACCTCGCAGGCAGCGGAGCGACATACGATGTCGGCGGCCAAGCCTTGGTTCGAGTGCTTCGCAGGTCTCCAGCATACCTCTGGCGGAACCCTTTGGGGGTTTTGGGAAGGACCCGGAACGGGATCCCAAAAACCCGCAAGGGATGCAAAATGAGGACCTGTTCCCGAAAAAAAATCACTTCGAACTTCGAACCATTCCTGTCAGGCTTACGTTAACCCGCTTTCGCGCTCCATTTTCGACACTGTGGTGGGTGTAGTGGCGTTTGGGGGCTCAATTCCGTGCAGCGTCAAATTGTGCCGATCATTTTGTTCTGAGTGTTCTTTCGTCTTCGCTGTCTTTCGTCTTCGCTGTTCCAAAGTTTGCCGTCCGAAGTTGCAGTCTTTTGCGAGATGTTTTTTGGCCCTCGCAGAGTGTGTCGATGTTGCTCCTCTGATAATATGTTGTCCATCTAGTTAGTCACCATGCTTCAGTCCTGACAGGTCCTGGCTTTCGTTGGTTTACCCCCTTTTACTCCCTTGCAGTACAGCACCAGAGCCCGACACCTAGCCAGACAGATTCAGAAGCCGACAGATGTCAGCCAGATGCACCAGGGTTCGGGGTCCGGGTCTGAGTGTTTGTGTGGGGCTACGGTCTGGGTGTCCAGATGCGCGGACCTCCAGGTCTGATTGTCTGCTTTGGGCCGAAGCTGCGGGAAAGCAGCTTGGGACTTGTATCTGGCTCTGGGGTTTGTCGTTTGTATCTGACTGGCTATCTGACAGACTCTCTGGATCGAGTATTTGTTGCTGGCATCCGTCATTTGGGGCTGCTAGCTTTCTATCGCTGGTAGGCGGATTCTCAAAGAAAGCAACCCCATCTGACTTGGAATGTCAAACTCAAGGCAAGAGCAAACACGAACAGAAGGAATCGTCCATCCGTGTTCATGGCCTGCAAGCGTGTGTAATTTAATGTTATCAGACAATGAAACTATTAATTTTCTATATATTTACGGTTTCTGCCCAGCCAGCCTGTGACTCTTTTCGCGTTAGCAAGCGCAGCCGCTGTAGCAAGCCGTGCCGAGGTTGGGTGAGGCTGCCGAGCTGCATTATCCGGGGTGCATCCATTGCAGCGGCAGCAAGATGCGAGATGGGTATGTGTTACATTGAGGGCCCCGACAAATGGCCTTCACGCTGGAGAGGGCGCAAGGCAGCAAACACAGAAGGTAAGTCTCTTGTTGGTTGCCTAGAATTGCCAGAAACACATGCCCTCTCAAGTGGCGGATGCTGCAGTGCGAATGTCAAGATGTGCTTGACACATGCATGGTGATCCCTTTCTGATGAAGCGTTGGGCTCATCGCCAGTTTCCTGGCCCCTGCCCTTGGAAAGGCAGACACGACATGCTCCTACGGTTTGATAGGTCCTGCTTGGGCACGTTTTGCCTGCTTTCTTTGAGTTATCCTCCAGAACAGCCTGGCTGAACTAAGCCCAAGCAGGAAGTGCGGAATGCTGCCACGCCACATCATTTTGGCCATGATCCGATCCTGTATGAAAGGGCCTAGGACATCCCTGAGGTTCCTTCTAAACCTATCTTGAGACCTGTGGCCTTGCGGCCTGTGGTCAGCCTGTGGCTTTCTCCGCGGCCAACCTGAGGCACGGCGCCTGGTGCTGCCGCAATGCGAATTAAGATTCGACCTTTTCTCTGCGGAGTCTCTTGCGAAGATCGTCCAGGCTGCTGGGTGATTTGGCAGTCGATTTGGATCTCGGATTTTTCAAGGGGCCTTTTCATTTGAAATACGTATTTGTGCCCGCCAAGCATTTTGCAAGATTGTCCCAGCAAACCCCACAAGAGCCGTGTGGGGTTGCGTGTGTTTGCATGCTATGTTTTGAAAACCTGGGCGAGCTGATCTATGCCAGTGGCCTGTCAGGACACTGCGTGGCTACAAAGTGGTGCCTTGGTTTCAAGCAGCACGCGGCAAGTTTGGCTTGGAGCTCCATGACATCAAACAGCACAGGGGGACATGTGCCCAAGCCTGCCAACTATTTTTAAATCGTGGAAAAAGTGGTACCGAGCGCGCATTTCAAGGGATGTGATTTACTAGTCTTGGGGGGGGGGGAGCGCAAAAAAATAGCAAGCAAAAACACACACAGGCCGCACTCACACATTTGCAATTGCGTGAGTGAATATGTATACATAATATGTGTTCTATCTAAATCTAATCCAATCTATCTACCTACATATTTGTACACTTGCATGGACACCTTTTTTGCAGCGGTTTGAAGGAAAGTCAAAAGAAGCACCGAGCGTGTCAATGTTTTGCGACAAGCCAATAAAAATCCTGATATGTCCAGAGTGATTAACTCAAGGCGTGCCCCTAAAATCCCGCCATATGTGGTGTTTGTTTAGTAATACCCTTTTCGGGCTGCTGCAAAGGGAAGCCAACAGGAACCCCCCCCCCCATTTTGGGGTGTCCGCCCATTTTGATACATACCCATCAGTTCTGCGAGGCTAACACCTCAAGTCGTCAGAAGGGTAGCCGTCTCATGCGTTGCTTGAGCTTTGATCTTACACAAAGGCTTCACTTCAGGGGATAATCCCAGTTCATTCATTGGGGAGGCGGGGGTTATTCTCCAAAAGTGATGACTTCCCACTAAGCCCAGTGACAACAAGTTGTGGTTCTTCAAGCTTGTCTAAGCCACGGTTTGGATTTGCATTCTTATGAAGGTTTCGTTTCCCAAGCGCAGCTGATTTTGTTTGGTGGATGTATTTTTGAAGGAACCCTCAAAGTCCAGTTGTTTGTGGCAACAAGCCCTATCTACCCCTCTGCTGTTCAGTTGAACTGATGCATGTTGGAG